ATTCACCCTTAACATTAGTAGTCCTCGGGTGCAGTTTATCCATACAAGTTTTCGGTGAATCTTCCAGGCTTATCTACTTGTTCTTTGAACTGATTGCTTGTGTTTCTGCAGTGGCTATGTATTTGCAGTAAGCGTTCACAGAGTTCAACTTCTTCTTCAAGTACTGAGCGTGAAACGATTCCATCAGCAGCAGCAACAAGGGCAACAGCCAAATACAAACATTGCTAATGAGGAATTATCTACAGCCGAAATAGGAGAAATATGTGACTACTTCAGTCGACGTGTTGCTTCAGAGCCTTATGATGCTTCTCGGGTTGCGTCGTTCATTACTCTCCTCACCTTACCCATATCAGTTTTAAGAGAATTCTTGAAATTAATAGCATGGAAAAAAGCACTAGCCCAGTCACAAGGGGGAGATATGGCACCTGCCCAAAAACCCCGTGTTGAATTATGTCTTGAAAACCATGCTGGCTCGAGTATGGATCATTCATCTGTTGCCAAAAGCAATATTCATTATGATCGGCCTCATAACTCGGTTGATTTTGCACTGACTCTTGTTCTTGATCCTGCTCACATACCTCTTATAAATGCCGCTGGTGGAGCTGCATGGTTGCCATACTGTGTCTCAGTGAGGTTGAGATATTCGTTTGGTGAAAATCCTAACGTGTCCTTTCTTGGTATGGAAGGAAGCCATGGAGGTCGAGCTTGCTGGTTGCGCGCTGATGACTGGGAGAAGTGTAAACACAAGGTTGCTCGAACTGTGGAACATCATGGTAGCTCAGGAGTAGACAGTGGTCAAGGAAGGTTAAGAATCGTAGCTGACTATGTGCAAAGGACACTACATATGTGGCTTCAAGGGTTGAGGGACGGTAGCGGGATTAGTGCAACCTCCATGGCAACATGATCAGTCGTGTCGCTCAGAGATAGATACTTTTGAACCACTTCATTCGGGACTAAATCTCGATGAGTTTTGCGCAGATTGACCATGGCTAGTGTTCCGTTTTTCGGTTCTCTCAGTTTACTGCAGGAGGAGAAACTTGTGGTAGGATGTAACATATTTTTGAACATTTTTTGTGAACTGTTGTACAAATCTGGCTTTAATTGGTTATACTTTGTAAACCTTTTGTTTCCTGAAGTGGGTGATTTCTTAAGTAACTGTTCAAAAGATCAGAAATTTTTTATGTTTACAACTTTTACAGTTTTACCGTCCGCTAGTCTACTCGAGTAAGTGAATCTCATTCCTGACAATGAATATTATAGATAAATTGTCACGAGAACGATAACATTTTCAATCTCAATTCTTGAAATGATAAACTTTTTGTCGATTGACGGTTCATTTGGAAGTATTTTAAAGTGGTTGAAAATATTTTGGTTAAAATATATTTAGATGGAAATGTGTCAGTTGACTAGTCAAGAATGAATTGAAATGCATTTGAACTTTTTTTGGGCCGCACTGTGAATTAGTCCTACGCTTTTTAGTGTGGTACCTAAAAATAAAGAAAAAAAAAGGAGCACTAATATGTCACTGCCATTTGATTTGATCAATTTAAGGCTTGTTTAAAAATGCTTTTAAAATGGTTGAAAGTATTTCTGGTAAAAATGCTTTTAGGTTCTAAAAACACTTGAAATGCTTCCTATAAGAAGCATGTATTTCTTGTAGGAAACACTACTTTTTCAGGTTTCATTTGTATATTTATTAAAGATCGGTCCAAAAAACACTTTCACTAATGATACTTTCAGCTATTTTAAAAGCACTCCAAACAAAACTTAACAACGTGGATTCGATTCCCGAGCAATTTAGCCAATTTTCCAAGATTATACAAATGGATCAAATTGGAAACCAGCAGCCAGCTTCATTTCACTTTTCATGCACTGCAAAACAAGGAAGATTTCTTCCCATCTCGGATGCCGCTTATCGGCGGCAACAAAGTTGTGGACAACTCCGTCGACGTTCACGCTACTGCAACCTGCGGTCTTCTTCACTCCCCTGACCTCCATGACTTCTCGAATCTTATCCGAGTAGCTCCACTTTCCACAAGCAGCGTAAATATTCGACATCATAATGTATCCGCCCTCTCTCCCGGGCTCTAACTTCAGTAGCTCTGCTGAAGCTGTTTCAGCTAGTTCCATGTCTCCCTGTGCTCTACAAGCACTCAGCATTGCTCCCCAAATGTTTCGACTTGGCTTTACCGGCATCTTTTTTATCACTTCTTTCGCCTCTGCCAGCCTTCCCGATCGACATAAAAGGTCCACTAAACACCCATAGTGCTCAACTCCTGGTTCAATACCAAATTTTTTGTCCATGTTTTTGAATAGATTAAGCCCTTCATCCACAAGTCCGCTGTGGCTACAAGCTGTAAGAACAGCAAGAAGAGTCACCCCGTTTGGTGATAGCCCTCTCTGCATCTCCGAAAACAGATCCAGGGCTTTGCGCCCGTAACCATGGAATGCGAATCCAGAAATCATTGTTGTCCATACGGTAACATCTTTCTCTGTCAGTCCCCGGAAAACCATGAAGGCTCGTTCAATGCTTCCGGCCTTGCAGTACATGTCTATTAATGCCGAACCCAAAAATACGTCTATTTTCAACTGCATCCTCACAATCAAGCCATGCATTGATCTTCCATGGTCCAGCGCTCCAGTTTCCGCTGCAGCAGAGACCAAATTAACCAGAGTGTTACTGTCAGGCTTCGCATTCTCCGTAATCATTTCGTTGAATACCTTCACTGCCATTGTGTAATCGCCCTTCTTGGCATATCCAGCAATTAATGAATTCCAAGAAACAAGATCTCTTCTAGGCATTTGCTCAAAATAATTCTGCGCAAGTTCTATTTTCCCAACCTTGGCATATCCTGCAGCCATGGTGTTCCAGGACACGATATCCTTCTCCGTTAAAGCATCAAAAAGACTTTGGGCAACCTCCAATTTGTTCCATTTCACATACATGTCTAAAAGAGCATTACCCAAAATCAAATTTCCAGACGTAATGGCCTTCCTCCTCTCAATCCATGCATGAACAGACATTCCAAGCCGAGCATCTCCTAATAGTCCACAAGATATAAGAAGTCCTAGAATGGTAAACTCATCCGGCTCGAGACCCAAACCCACCATTTCATGAAACACTTGCAGAGCTTCCGAAAAATATCCCATCTTAGCATAACCAACGATCATGATATTGAACGGGACTGTATCCGGCGTTCGCACGTCATCAAACAACTGTTGAGCAAGCCCCATCTCCCCTTTTTCCAGATATATCTTCATGAGGGTGTTCTGCAAATACCGATGTGACAACAAACCTGTAACTACAGCATGGCTGTGGATCTGCTTTGCTTCCACTACACATTCGGATGCTTGGAGCAAGTAAAGAAGGGTGTGTTTATCAGGGCATATGCCAGCTTTGAGCATGGAACTGTACAGAGCAAATGCTTGGCTTTTCGAGAAAGATAATGCAGAAATCATCGAATTATAGATGTAAAGATTGGGATTCGGAGTAAAGTGATCGAAAAGGAGGACGGCCATGTCTAAATTTTCAGGGTGCGAGATGGCGGAGAATGTGAGAAGCCGGCTCATGGGAAATGTCTGACCAATTAAACAGTTCCTCATCATTTGCCCCAAAATCTGCTTGAAATGGTGCCTTGTGCTGCACTTCTCCAGCAACACAAGAGCCGGGTGATTGAGTTCGAGCGCAACAGTTGGATCCCAGTGGATCCTCCTCCCCATTGAACTCGAACTCGAAAGGCAGCGAATGCCTCGCCCACATTGCTGCATAGATAAAAATTCCAACAAATCTACTCTCCATCATTTAAAGAACCCATCACTTATATTCCACAAACAATCAAACTCCCATAATCCCCAACAGAAAGATCAAATCTTTCAGTCAAATCTTTCTGATTTTTTCCTCTAGTAAATTGTTTCCAACTTTCCATCAGTTTTCAGGCTGAAAATTTCAAAATTTACGATGTAGAATAACGGAAGACAAAGGGTCGCAGCGGGAATTTGCAGATTTGGCGTCCGAGCTCCGACGGAAGAAAAAGTTCATTTCTTGGTAGAAAGTTCAAAATTTTAAGTCCAGATTTCAGAATCCTAAATCTTCCATCTCCAATAAGCAAACAATTACCATAATTTTCTGATATGAAATAAACAGAATCATATACTAAAACAAACCCAAGGTAAAACCCAACACTTGCTAATCGAAATTACAAAGAAAATGGTGAATTGAAATAGCACTTACCAATCATCAAGGGTGAAACTTTTGAAACCCTAGAAAGATTGAAGCTTCATGTTTTGATCAAAACCACAGAACCCTAAATTTTCTTGCAGGTAAATGGGCCAATGGGTCCAAATTTGGTTAAAGCCCAATTGATTTTGTGAAAAGGCCCACATGTTTCTTTGCCTTTTCCTCCTGTTTGTGACAATAAGATATTCTAAATTACTTTATCATACTGGGACAATGATTCAATTTTGCTGTAAGAAGATGGCACGCTTCCGACCTAATACATATATGTGAAATTTCATCTACTTAGAACTCTTTGCATCAATTGCCGTTCAAATGGCTAAGAACATGTTTATCTTTGCACATAAGGTTTTGCATTCGTGTCTCTCACCGCTTTGAATAAAAAAAGAAACTCAATTCAATACCTAAAAAATCCATGTCTGGTCGAGTATGATTCGTCTTTTTGAAATTTTTTTTAGTATGCACGATATACACCAAAGTTTTCGACTTTAGATTTTTTTTATTGAATTATTGGCTATACATTCAAACATTATTGTTCTGGTCCATGTCATACATCGGCATACTTGGTAGAACTTTCGTATTATTATTTTTCTATAGAAGATGTCATTTTCTATCCCTCTCCCCCAATAACTTTCCCTTGAATAATTATTCATCAAATTTGAAAAAAAAAAGTACTCACCTCACTTTTAAAGAAACAACAAACTCAAACTCATGTTTTTCTGTAAAACCAGAAGCTTCCAACATATCATTACAAGACAACCAACCATCATCCAAATTTCAACTTGCATTAAAAAAAGAAATATTTCAGAAAATACAATCATGCAAACCCATCCACCCCTTTTGATTGGCCCCATCTCCCATTATCCATATACGAAAATTGAAGAGCTCCCACCACCAAGTATTTAGGTCACACTCACTCAACTAATCCCACCATTGATGTTACAAGAGGAGGAGGGAACACATCAATTTTGCTTTTGAAAAATCCTCCCCTAGGGTTTCCAATGGCATGACAATCGGCCCCTTGTTTGACAAAACTCAAAAAGTTGAGTGAACTTGACCTATAAATTTACCCGTTGTCATGAGTGACAAGGGTACTAAGGCAGGACGTGGGGCCCGCAAGCGTGCTGGGAGGTGTGGATGGGGGCATGCGATAGTTGATACTTTGTTGAGGAGGCTTATGAGGAGGAGTTTGATTCCGGCTTCACCATTGTTGGTGCGTCTGGTTGATGTGTCCGGAAAATTGCTGGGGCGAGGGATATGGGCATGATGCAGAGGGCCTTGGACTGGAGGAACTGCATGGCAGCTCCTACATCTTCTTCCATCAGCTTAGCTACTTCTTGTTCTGTGCCATCGTTCGACCACTTCTCACATGCTTGTTGATTGGTTCCTCCTTCCATGCCCTCCCCCTTCATAGGATTAAAGCAAAAACCGAAAAAAAAAATAGTCAAAATACGGGAGACAGAAAGGGCGGATTAGTACATAGACTACTCTAATTTATCAATGCATTTTAGAATGTTCATCGAGCCTAGTTATGTATTAGAGAAACTCTTGTAATTATTACGTATGTACATTTGTCGCGGTGAACTGTATGCATCTAACAGCGAATTCTAATATGCTGCCTCCACAATAAGTCGGATCAATTTAAAAAATGTGCAGAGAATAACCTCGACTGCTGATAGGGGTACGTCGGCAACAAGCTGAGCCACTGCGCCTGCTCCCCCGAGTCGACTCATGCTCAAAACCTGTTTCCATAAAAACAAAATCATATCGATAAGTATCGAGAAAATAAGTTGATTAACTTTGAAATTAGAAGAAAGTCGTACACTTAGTGTCCTTTTCTATTTTGATTATGACTTGGTTGAAATCTAGAGGTTCCAAGCAGACAAAGCCATTTCATGTTTGAAAAAAAAAAAAATTAACTAGTTCATACAAAGCAAGTGTCTATGCCTGTAATGATGCCTGGGATATGCCACATGACAGGGACCTACCTTATGGTGAAAACATTTTGAAGACGTTAGCATTTCGTACAAGTTTCCGAAGCAACGATGAATTTGAAGAACGCTTTTAACAATTTCGTGCAGAAAACAGTTTTTTGTTAAAAGATGAGGAAGTATATATATATTTTTTTTTTTGAGAATTAGGGAGTTGTGAAATAATTTGGAAGAGCAATTGATGGAAGAGCAACTTCAGAACATATAAAAGCAATGAAACCTCGGACAGAAACGCAATAAAAGAAGGTACCAAATTACCCCATCTCCGAGGACATACGAACACATAACCAAGGAGAGGAAATTGAAACATACGAAAATTATTCTTTTTGAGATTATGAATCTATTTGAATTTTGATTCATATATACCTTGACTTGGAGCCTTAGAAATTTCACGTAATCCACAATTTCATCAAGCATAGCTGCCCTATCTGTCTGCACAACGATGTCATAACATGTCAATACTTTCAAAATGTATATATCAAAAGCTAGGCATTTTCAAACATCAATAAAATTCGACACGATGAAACAAGAAGAAATGCAATTCATCCAGCAAAAGGTACTAAAACTCGCTTTAAGGCACTAACCTTGTTACAACTAGGTACCAATTCCTGCAAAGCCTTCATTCTCTCTGCAATTCTTTCCCGGCGTAACTGTACCAAGAAGATAAATACGTATACGCATATAATTACCTATAGCACTGGATAAGCAGGGCATCGGATTGGATGCCAGGATGAATTGTTTAAGTGTTTTCAGAAAAGGGATCTTTTTTATTAGAAAACTAGTATAGTCCTCGACACTAATGAATAGCAGACGACTTTTTCAGTCTCAACAAAATTGCATAGGCTAAATACATGCTGGAGTGACTTCTTGAATTATATGTTACATTTTAAGCAGAAGTGACTTGGATGTCTTCAATGAGAATGAACTTAATGCTAACTTTCCCACAAAGAACAATTTAGGTTCTCTTAAATATGAAATATTTAGCTTACCCGCTCAGCAATACTGTGGGGATCTGTTGCTTGGCCTCGCCTTGCTCGAACCCTTGGGCGGATGGAAGGAGGGTGATGGACAGCATTAGATGGCCCTGGTGGTGGTTGGCTATGAAACTGCGGCACCAAGATTAACAAAATTAAGTCGATCCATAAATTATCAACATGTGTTAGGTTTGAACTAATGCATACTTAATCATCTGATGTGAGTACAGATATGTCAAAATTCAGCTGGACAATCGAAACTATAGACAGTCGGGATTAATTTGATGGAAGTTTTCAACTTGGATTTCCATCAAATTAATCCCGACGGTCCACAGTGGAACACCAACTTAGAAAACCATCTTACAAGTCATTTCACATCCTTATCCAACGTTCCTATCATATGCTTTACAAGTAAGAGATAAACACCAAAACATTGTCCACGAAATTACACTACGAAAATAAGTTTTGACATCTCATTGCGTAAATCCTTGGCAACAGCTTGTGGGTGAGGATGACTGAATTTTTAGTTGGACAAGTCAAGATATGTTCTTAATGTCAAAGAAGAAAATAATCATTCAACTTTTCATAATTGAACAGGTTTTCGATGTACTGTTTGAAGTTCTTTAAGAACGAACAATTCACGCCAAATTGATTAACTTTTGAAACAAATCTAAGAGTCATAACTGAAACATCCAAGAACGAAAATAACCTAGGACATGTCAAACTAATTGAAAAAATAAAACAAACTCCCCAAATTATGCAAAAATATGTACAAGTCCAAATCAACCCTAGTCAGCACAAGTCAACATATTGACAAAGTCAAACTAGCCGGAGTCATTCCACTGTGAAGAACAGGAGCGCATGTTCCCACACACCAAGAGGAGCGTGGCCACCGAGATAGCCACAAAGATTGCAATTCGAGAAACTCGAAAGGACCAAAATGTCCCTTAGACGAGAGATTTTTTTAGTGTGACGGTAACATGGGCTGATATACCAAATGTCATAATACAAGTGGTTGGAGATTTTTTTTTTTTAATTTCCAACCACTTGTATTATGACACCTGATATACCGCGTTGTGTTCCCGACACATTAAAAGATTTCTTTCCTCGGACGGCAGAGCTCATCTACACGTTCGAACAACCCACACGTTTATGGAGCCTTCTGTCTGTCGGACACGTCCTACTAAACAATACTCTCCACTCTCCCTCAAGCACGTGCACTACACATCATTACCTACTACTAATGTGCTTGAAACAAAGCCCTTGATTACAACAATATTATCAACGGTACCCCTCATCCTCTAGAGGAGCAATATTTGCATAAACGGGTTCACAGCTATCGTGATACAACGATCTAATACTAAAAAACCATGTGAAGTTTCTCGCCAGATAACATTGAATTATTGAATCGGAATGTCATATGACGATGAATTCGTTCTCTATAATTTGATTTTTCTCGTAACACATTTCAAGTTCAAGTAGTTATGACAATCTTACTATTTGGCCTTGGGGAACATAACAAAAGGACTTTACCTACTCACAGTAGATCACTGTTGCATTCTGAACGAATAACGCAATAACCTAGTATCGCGTTATTGGTTTAGAATTGTCACGGCGGCGCACTAAATGTAGAGAAGTCTGTCTCAATAAAGAGAGCATCTTTGAAATAGCGAGGGCAACTTGGTCACTGTGAAATGTTAGCGTTGGACGTACCTGGTGAGGAGGTTGGGGAGGTGGTGGCGTTGGACGGAGTGATGAGTGATTTTGCAAGTGTCCAAATGCTGGAAACAAACTTGACATATGAACAGATTCTCTTTCCTGCCACACCAAACAAATACTAAGCCATCAAGATTTGCAAACGTAGGTAAAGCCAGTCAGTTAAATCAATATGTCAGTCTCCTGACAACGAATAACAAGATTCATTCACCAAATTAACCTTACAAACTCTTCATTTTACAAGCATACCCTAACCCAGCTAGCATCTACACTACACTAGTTCTCAACTCTCACATCCATTACAAAGAAAAGAAATTACGTAGAAGGAAATTTGAACTCATGTGCAACTGCTATAACCAATTAGTCTAATACAATATTGTAAGATTACTTTAGGAGATTCAAACTCGGTGCTACTGCTCTAATTAATTGACCTAACTTATGACAACTTTGACGTCACAGTCTTAAAACAAAATTAAGATTAAAGTGGAGTGAGAGAGGCTTACATTAATTGAAGCAGAAACATTGGAACTGTTTGTGTTGTTAGTATTGTTGGCTTCATCTCTGAACCTGCTGTCTCGCCCAAGAAAACCACCCTGCTCCAAGTTCAAACCCAACGGCATACCCAGCCCCATCCCAACTCCTCCTCTGTACCCAGCACCACCACCCGAAGACCCAGCAGAACCCAGCTGCAGCACCATGGGCATGGACCCCACATCTCCTCCGTACCCACCACCAGCTGACTCACCACCACCACCGGCACTATACGACGGCGGCACAGCTAAGATCTGCTCAAAGAAATCGTCTCCAAGTCCCTCTTGGGGATTTCCCGCCATATTTTTTTTACTTGCACTGACAAAACTCCACGAGTTACTAACTTTTTTCTGCAACCGCTCAGATGGGTTTTGCAATTTACAGTAAGAAAAATGAAAGGTTTGGTGAGTAAAGAATTAAAGCTGAGCTCTTTATGCTCTTTTTAGAGAGAGACAGTCAGAGAGAGAGAGAGAGAGAGAGAGAAACAGAGTGTGTGTGTATCGAGAAGTGGGAGGGAATTTGAGAAGTGGGGTTTTGTGTTGGTGAAGTGGGTGTCAGACCCGATACCCCGGAAATGGTATTCGGGGATTTCGAGCTGGTTTTTCCAGAATTCCAGACTGACGGGTTTTGGCAGAGTTTTCTGGTTGGTTTTTATAGAGAGAGAGAGAGAGAGAGAGAGAGAGAGAGAAGGAGAGGAGCTCTTCTGAAAATCCTTCTCTTTTTGGCTTTCTGAATTTCTTTGCTTTTTGGCTCTGAACACTCTGACTTGGCTCTCGGAATTTGGGTTTGTGTGTGCGTGTGATTTATGGTTTCTAACTTCTAGAGAGAGAGAGAGAAAGAGAAGAAGAGGAGGAGAGAGAAGCAAACTTTGCGGTCTTCGTGGGACTAAAGTTTCTGGTCCTACGCGTTGACAGGACAAGATGTTTTTCTTCAAGAAACAAAAAAAGAAACAATGCAATTTTTTCTCTTTCTTTTTGACAATTGAAAAATATATAAGCATTTGAATTAGGTAGTATTATCGATTAAAAATTAATCTTATATTAATGAGAAAATAGGTTTTACATGTGTTTAGAAGTAGTTAGGTTATTTTTTATATTGTCAATTAATTTTATGATGAAATCTCAATTTTTTTCATAAAGCATTTGAACTAGGTAGTGTTATCGGTTGAAAATTAATCTTATATTGATAAGAAAATAGATTTTATATGTGTTTATATGTAGTTAGGTTACTTTTTATACTATCAATTAGTTTTATGGTGGAACCTCAACTTTCTTCATTATATCATAGTAAAATTGTCTCACGTGTATATCCCAATGGCTACACGTGCTCAACTTCATTTGAGTTGTGTTGTCCACGTGTTAGGCTTGAACATAAGTCACATGTGAGGAGACATGTTGAGAATGAATTCTACACTAATGAGAGAAGAGACATTGCATGTGTCATATATTATCAATTGATTTATAGTGGAACCTCAACTTTCTTCATTATCGACATCCCTATTTTTACGATGACTTGATCTGAATTATTTTAACTCTTCTTACAAAACCTCCTAGTCAAAATTTCTCTTTTTTCTGACTTTATTTCTACTTCTAGTTTGAAGAATATGCACGTCTGTTTTTCAGCTTTTGGTCATTATTATCCGATTAGGGTTCATATTTGCTATTATCATGTGCAGTTGGATCACTACTAGAGATTGAATTTATCAAAATCTGCTTAGTGCTTTACGAGTTCTTCTTGAAAATGCGGTGAATTGTGTAGCGACGTGGTTTAGACATGTTTCTCGCATACCCTAACCAAAATGGGAAATACATAATTATGGTGCATAATTAAAGATACTTTCATAGATGATCATAGCCGTCCAATCCATAGAAAAATCAGTTCCAACTTTTTAAAACTAGAGTGTTGCCATCAAATTTTACAACCTGAAAATCATGTATTATGTTTGCTTCACGTAATTAAGTTTCTATTATTGGTTCATTCATCTTACTTTTGGGAAAGCGATCCGGGTTCTTGAAATTTGATCTAATGGCTAAAAATAGGGGCCCCCTTTAAAACTTATAATAACTTTAGCCGTTAGATCAAATTTCAAGAGTTTGGATCCCCTGATTTGGTGGATTTGGTGGAAGGAATTTAGAGAGGATCCTTTTCCTTACTTTCGGTCCTCTTTGTTCTGCTTTCTTAAATAATGATATTAGTCTATAACTTGATAATCTTGTCTTTTTTTTTTTAAAGGATCAGCTGGTGACTTTGCCATGGCAATTCACCTTTTCATGGGTTGGAAGGACTAACAGAAGCATTTCAGCCTCCTCCTGGCCACTATCGTGTGATTCACAAGTGCCACAAAATGAATTCATAATGTGTTATGTGAAATACGGGCTTGGAATTCGTCCCAACCATTAAGCCATCCCGTGTTGGTTTAGGATAATCTTTTTTTTTTCTTTCTAAATTCATCCTTTTATGCGGAGAATGCGACCATTTTCAACATTTCTATCAAAGAAACTGTTATTGACATCTCAAAAATGATCGTTCTGAACTTTCTCGATTGGTAGTTTTATTTGTTTAAAGTTTTTAATAGGAAAAATGTGTGATAAACTTGGGTTTGTAGCAGCCCAAACAAAAAATTGACTAGGGCTGATAGGGGTCTCGGGCCTAGCTGACTAGTGACAAACATTGTCCATTTGCATCTTAAACAATTTGAATACACAAAGGTTGTTATCTTTCTAGTTTTTAATTCTTTTCCCTTTTAAGGGTCGGTGCCCTTTATGTAGTGGAGTTACTTTTTTATAGCACACCTATAAGATACACCACAATACACCTATCATATGTAAACCTAAACTTTAAAATACCCTGAATAAGATAGAGCAAAGGGAAATCTTGAGTGCAATCGGAGATATTTGCTCACGTCAATGTCTTACTCCACCACTTGATTTGGTTGCAAGATTAAGAACTTGTTTGAATGTACTTTTAAAATGTTTGAAAACGCTTTTAGAGAAAATCTTTTTTTGACTCCAAAAGCATTTAAAGTGCTTTTCCATAATTTACTTGCATTTTTACTAAGTATTAGTTCTAAAAACATTTTCACCAAAGGCGCTTTCAGTGATTTTAAAAGCACATCCAAATGAGCTCTAAGATGACGAGACCTAAATAAAGAAGAGAAATGCTAATCATATTTGTGCTAATCTTTGCATTTGAACATTTTCACTTCTGCACATGACAGATGTCATTTTACTTAGAAAACAAGATCTTTAGCGTAACAAAATGACATGTGTCATGTGAAGAAGTGAAAATGTTCAAATGCAAAGGTTAGTGCAAAGATTGCTAGCACTCCCCAATGAAGAATGAGAGACTCGTGAGGAAATACCGTTGGTGATAGAGTATAATATTCTCGTTAATATGAGGCTTTAAGGAGAAATTTTTGTGGTGTTACCAAAGATATATCATAAGCAAACATAAGTTTTAAAGAGCCTAATCAAACCAAGATAGAGGGTTTTCATGGAAAAAGAAATCTAGTGTATCACCAAAGATATATCACTATGTAAGTGTTGAGCTCATCGATGACCTGTTTACATATAGAAGATGAGCGAGACTCGACTAATGTGAAGATTTTGTGGTGTAACCATAAATATACCCCCAATTAGAATATCTTTTCATTAGTCACGGGAATAAAAAAATATAATAGGTGGAGATACAACGAATTATATGTTAAAATTTACTCAAGTAATAAAAATCTTGTGTATCACCAAAGATATATCACTAAGTAAGTGTTGAGCTCATCGATGACCTGTTTACACATAGAAGATGAGCAAGACTCGACTAATGTGAAGATTTTGTGGTGTAACCATAAATATACACCCAATTAGAATATCTTTTCATTAGTTACGGGAATAAAAAATATAATAGGTGGAGATACAACGAATTATATGTTAAAATTTACTCAAGTAATAAGTGAACTGCTCACGCAACGATATAAACGCGATGATATAGAAAAATCTTACCGTGAGGCCTTTAGCCTTGATAAGGACCTAATCGCCTATATGTAAGCCAAAATAGTGTGGTATCCCAAAAAGACGAGCTATACCTATCATTAGTGCATCATTACCTCTTTTTAGATTTACTTTTGATATATGATTAAAGCCTTTGAAGCAATCAGAGAAAAAAAGTATATCATATAAAGTTATACAAAGCTGAAAAATGTGGGAGAACAAACAAGGAATAGAGAGATCACGCGTCTGTTAAAATATCAAGTTTTGTATGATAGGACCAACTTCATAGCAGGTATCTCGCTTTATTGTAGCCAAATTAAGATACGTAGAAGACATTGTATCAATTATGTATTCGTCATATACCCTTATAAGGAGCCTTTATTTTAAGAGAGAGGATCATTGCCGGATCCTCTTTGTGACGATCCCGGGAATCCTCAAATCACATTCATTCATCGTACATCGTGCGATTAGAAATCATTGTAAATTTTTTTTATTTTAAATTGAATATAAATAGTACCTGATGAAAATTGACCGCACGATGCATAATGAACGGATGTGATTAAAGGATTTTCGAGATCCTTACAAAGAGGATCCGGTGAGGATCCTCTCTCTTATTTTAAGGGATTTCCATTTTTTTTCAATGAGGACTAGTAGTGGGGCTCATTTCACATCGAACTTTGACGATCTAAATTGCCTATTTTTCAAGTTGCGTTTTATAGATCATCTTTGCAAAATATGAGCTAAATCGGGAATGTTTGAGACATCTAATTAAATTCAAAGAAATTGACGAATATTATGTTTTAAGAAACATTGAAATTTCACCATAACAATCAAATGAGTAAATGATTTCAAATTGAATTGATTTTTTTTTTTTTAAAAGATGACATATGAATAGAGACTAAAACATAAATGGTTTAGATAGTTAAAATTCGATGTGAAGTGAATCCTACAAAATTTGATGTGAAGTGAATCATACAACTAGTCTTCATTTTTACCAAAAAATGGGTATCTCTTTAGATAAAGGCTCTGCACTCCTATATATCTAATTGTTTGTCATTCTTTTGCTCCAAATTTACGATTGTCCAGTACGGTAAATACACGGTCTACATGGAAGGCCCTATCATCCCCATTTGCTACAGTAATACGGAATCGCTATAAGAAAGAGCCCTTGTAATGGTATAATTAGGGAAGAGATCCCCTCTGGATCTCTCCCACCAAATATTAGGGATTCGGAGATCCGGATCCTTGAAATTTGATCAAACATCTACAATTATTATAACTTTTAGAGGTGCCTCCTGTTTGTACCCGTTGACTAAATTTTAAGGGTCCGGATCAACGGATCCCTAGGATTTGATGGGAGAGATCTGGAGAGGATATCTTCCCGTATAATTATATCATTTAGCTAGAAATAATCTTGTTTACTCAAAACTGTGAGTATATAATTAATAAATCTTGAGTTGGGATGGATGTCATAGCCTCGTGGCGATTAATAGCAAATTTGGACCACTAATCCATTATCTGCGACAATGGTTTAGGGTTGCGTATGCCATAAAATACCTTGAACCCTACTTTAAGGAAAGCAAAACCCTAATTGAGAAGCTCCTCCTTTTCATTCCAAAGCAAAAGGTTCTTCTTTTCTTGGGGTATATTCCTCCGCCTTCTAATGTAAAAAATCTTATATCTTGCTCCCTGTATATGGCAAAAAAATTCTCAAAAGTGGTGGGCCGTTCCCCTCTGCATATGGATCCTATCCCGTGCCCACCACTTGTGAGTGCTGCCATATACGAGCAGCCCGACATACGATTTTCTCCTCCTTATGAGCATGGCAGGGGAACATAATTTGGTCCAATTTTTTAGAAGGCAGTCTGAGTTGAAGAGAGAGGGCAAAGTGCAAAGCTATCCCTTAACTAAAGAAAGGAGTTTTCTGATGGAAGCAATAGTGTGGGGGGAGGATTTAAACTCAGGAGTTCGGGTCTAACTCTGTAAGGGTAAATGCGCTTCGCTTAATCAATTGAGCTACAAGGCCCTTGCAACGAAAAGAAAAAACATATAGGCGATCTAACTTAGCATGTTCTGAGAACATAACGAGTAGATTAATAAAGAACGAGAATATTGATCTGCCTTGTTCATGTTCTAAGCTTACAGCACAACAAAAAATAGAGAATGTATCAACTGGGTTATCACTACAACCTCATGCGTTTTCCTGTGAACTTGCGACCTTGGCTTCTTGTTTTTCTTCTTCACTCGACGCTGTAGGTGTCTCTGTGAGGCCCTCAGGTTCTTTTTTAAGCTCCGTCTCGAACTCCTTTGCTGCCTGCAAGATTTACAAAGGATTCAAATACACTCTTTATGAATTATGAGAAGCACAGAAAGGAAGCTGGAGAAAACAAGATAATTAGAAGTTATAAAATCACTGGGTTCAAAGTTTCTAGTGATTACACTATTCGCTTAATAAAGCTCACTGAAGAAAGCAGCAACATTTAAATAGTCTTCGATCGCATGCTACCACATACACAAAGAAATCACACCCTAACCAATTTTAAGGGTCAGCCGAATAAATTATGCATCCCTATTTCTTCTCTAACTCCCCATTTATGAGTACTTAATAGACTATAATATGAACTAAACTTTTTCGTAAGGTGCCTACTGCTCAGTATTCCTTGGAAATTGACATGCAGAATTTATTTGGATCTGTAATGATTAGACCGTTATTTTTAGATATCGTACTGATTAACAACTAAATGAGCTAAAACCGTCATTTGTCATCCTTCTTCTTTTAACACAAGTTGTAGGAGAATATGCTTCTATTCCCATCTTTTTTAAGTAACATCTAAATAAAAATCTAACAAGAAAACTTTATGCTTGGTGATCACTGACCACCGATGAATTACACACTTCTAATCGAGTATCAACTCTTTGAATTTGATATCTATATGCATCCATCTGCCCAAAATCATTTGATCCTTCTCCCGTTCCCCCGATCCCCACATCATACACTCCAAAATAAAATACATAAACATAACATTAAAGGTTCCATATGACTAAACCAAAAACTAAATTTGATCGTCCATATATGTTAACTTGCAATAACCAACTCAATCAAACCATACAGCATAGTGGCAAATGCAAAGACACATTTTCCTTTCCCCTCTTCCCCAAGATCTATAAATCCCCTAGAGATGTAATAATTATTTACATTTAGAGCCCCTCATTTTCATCGCTCAAATTTTTGCAATTCACATTGTTCACTCAACAGAGAGCAAAAGTGGGGAGAATGCAAAGGAATTGCATTTTACACGCATATTGTTTATTATTATTATTCAACACATGCAAAGTGTAGGGAAGATGAGAATGTTTCGTTGGATGTGGCACAGGAGAAAGGACAATATTAAGAATGAGGATATATGAGGTAAAGTAGGAGTAGGTGCAACTGCAGATAAGATGAGAGATAATCGGTTAAGGTGGTTTGGACATATGAACCGAAGACATATAGATGCTCCGGTTAGAAAATGAGATTATGAGCAAGAGCCTTAGAGCAAAAGGGGTAAAGGAAGATCTAGGAAGACTTGGAAAGAGACTTTAAGAAAAACATGAAGTACCTAGAGCTAACGGAAGACTTGGCGCAAAACCAAGCGGTGGCGTTTTCTAGGATTCATACAGCCTACCCCACATAGTTGGATAAGGCTTTATTGTTGTTTTGTTATTGTTTGTTATTCAAAAAGAACGGTAAGGGGTTCCATTGTATTTATTTTCCTTCCTATCACCATCATTTTGAACCATGTTATAACTTTGCAATCGTTGCTATCAATACCGAAAGGAAAACTACCTTAGATGAAAACAAATACGTTCACATTAAAAATCACTGTGAAATCTACTATAACTTAGAGATTACCATAGTTTCTTTCCACAATGTGGAGGCACCAACGACTGTACAATTACTTTAACCAAAAGTCATACACAAGGCAGAAACAACTAAACTACAAGTCTACAACTCCACAATAGTCAACAATCTAAAACATTTCAAGAGTTGCCCCATTCGTAACAACACAACGCGGAAAAGGGAAGTAAATGGAATATCAGAATTCTAATCACCATTCCAAGAGTTGCATTGACTTAACTAAGCACCAATACAGCGATCCCACATGACTTTAACTTTCTTCCCCTTCTTACACATAGTGTTTTCTACAATCAATTATCGCCACTAAAATGCATGTTCTTCGATTGGAGTTCAGCCAGGTAGTACAAGCATGGCATGGCATTTCGTTCTCTCTAATTTTACATTTAACTTCCCATTTCAACACAATATCCTCAAACATGAGTACCCTAAATTGTCTTTCTTTTTTCCCTCCTTTTCGTGGAAACTTAAGTATTGCAACAAAAATTCCGGAAATTGCATAAACTTTCTCAAGAAAAAAAACCCTATTTAGCTCAGCAAACTATAAATCTCAATTTTATTCCAATTTCCACACACACAAACAACAACAACAAAAATCATTAAATGGGCAATAGAGTTCATAAATTTTCTCGACAACCAAACAGATCCGGATGAAAAGAAACCAACCTGCTGGAAGCTCTTGACAGTCTTCCCAATACTCTTCCCCACTTCAGGCAGCTTCTTGGGTCCAAAAACCAGAGCCGCCACACCAGCTATAACCACAAGCTCCGGCATCCCAAGACCAAACAGAGCGTTACACGTCATACCCTTCTGGGCTCTCTCAGTTCTTGTTCTGCTTCTGCTCAGAACCAAAGCACTGCCATTTACAGTGCTTTTGCTGAAGGACAAAGAGGTGGTGCCATTGCTGGTCAAGAAGGTGGATTGGGATGATTGGGAAGGGAGAAAAAGTGGGGATCTAGGAGTGGACAGAGTAAAAGATGAAATCTCCATGAATTTTTCTGGTAACTTATTAACCTGATTTTTGGTTCCTGGGTTCTTGAAGGTATTGGGGATTTTGTTGAATTTTGTGTGTTTCGGGGTGTGGAAGATCGGATAACATGAAATTGAAGGGGAAAGGTGGCTCCAGCCAAAAGAAAATAAAAAAAATAAGGTAAAGGTGGGACCTTTGAATATTAATATTGACCAGATTGGACATTGGATGGTTGAATTTGCACATGGATGGTTGATGGTCTGGAAATTGGACGGTATTTAAATGGTGAAAATTATTTTAAAAAATAACTAATATTCGATAGACTGGACTAATAAAGATAAGAGTAACATTAGAGAGACTAATTTGTAGATTAAAATTTGTAAACTAAATGATATGAAAGTTGATGATTGAATTATTACTTAAACTCTGATAAACGTCCTCAATTTTTATTGGTGACACATTATTTATTTTACAAATTTAATCTCCCTAACATTACTCTAAAAATAAATCTTACTCTTTAGATGCAAAAGATCATTCTTCTTCTCATGAGTATTATTTTAATTCGTCCTATTTAACATGTTGAGAAATTGAATCTATGATAATAAGTAATATAAATAGTTTCCAAATCAAATGAAATTTTTTAAAAATGATAATAAAATGAGTAAGTATTTCAGATTATGAAGCAGCTAAGTGGGTCTTAATATTTTATTATGTTTTTATACTCATGTCGTTCGATTCCTTATTCTTTTAATGTAGATAATATTATTTGTTCAATATTTAGTTATTCTTTTAATGTAGATAATATTATTTGTTCAAAATATTCTATTTCGCTTTTATACTCACTGTCCTTGTTAGCTCACTCTATTGATATAGGGCCCATGGTCACCTTTTGCCTTCGTATGAGGCAGCCTCATTCATTATTTCAATATTTAGTTTTTCATTTGTATGTCCATAAATAATTGCAATCCTCTTAATTCAATTTATAAATCGTTTTTTTACAATTTCTAGTTTTAGCGTAATAAAATTGACTTTTACACCAATTGCTATGAATAAAATTTAAACTTGTCCGTAAAAACACATATACGCTATTCTGATCAACTGATCTAACCTACGTGCGCATATCTACTTTAGTTATTTAACTTATTTTGTCTTGAAGACATCCAAAAAAAACCATCACTTATATTAGCTTTTTCTTAAGGCTGTTTGTCCCTTTGAAGTTCACTTCCAAGAACCCTCATGCACCATCTCCCAAGAGCCAGAGCTCTCTCCTAAACCTAACCCTAAAATCCACCCACCAACCCAAAAAAATCCATGCCCAATTGATCACCAGTGGCCTCAAATGCCAAATCTCCGTCCCTCCATGCCAAACTCATCCAGCAATAATTCACCTTAACAAAAAGCACCAACCTTTATGCCCATTTGGTATTCCAACCAAACTTGTTCCTCCTAAACACTTTGATCAGATGCTCTCACCCCAAAGATTCAGTTCTTGTTTTTGCCAATTGGGTTTCTAAATCAACCTTAGTTTTTGACAATTCAACTTGCATTTTTGGTCTTGGAGCTTGTGCTAGATTGCCTTCAGTTCCAACGTTGTTAGTAGGCAGACAGATACATGGTCGGACTGTGAAACATGATGTCGTATCAAACATTTTGGTGCAAACAACGTTGAGAAGAATGTCTTGACTTGGACAGCAATGGCGACCGGGCTAGCCATTCACGGTAAGGGAAATGAAGCATTGGAGCTTTTGGATGTAATGGAGGGTTCTGGAATAAAACCCAATGCAGTGACTTTCACCGGCTTGCTTTCAGCTTGTTGTCATTCGGGCCTCCTTGAAGAAGGCCTCTATTTGTTCCATTTGATGAAGAGCAAGTTTGATGTCTCGCCTCGGATGCAACACCATGGCTGCATTGTTGATATGCTTAGCCGCGGAGGGCACTTGAAAGAAGCCTATGAGTTTATAGGAGGGATGCCAGTAATACCGTCTTGTGGAGGAGTTTGCTAAGTGCTTGCAACCTCCATGGGGATGTTGCAATGGGAGACAAGGTGGGGAAGAAGCTGCTCCACGTACAGTCAGCACAGAGTTCTGCAGAATCGACTCTAAAGAGCGAGGACTATGTTGCGTTGTCGAACATTTATGCATCTGCTGAAAGGTGGGAGGATGTGGAGATGGTAAGACAGGAAATGAAGGTTAAGGGAATCGAAAGCAAAGCCGGTTGTAGTTCCGTTCAAACTTCAAGCCGTTAGCAGTATTTTCCTTTTGAATTTGTTCGATTTGTAACATTTGATGATATGTCGAAGAAGGCCAAAATTTTCATGGAATCCAAATTAGTAGCATGTTTCAATTGATCTGGATTTCGATTTGTTGAGCACTTGCTAAAGAGTAGGTGAATACGACATGTAAGGAAACTGAGTATAATCTGTTCCGTGCATGACAAGAAAAATGAAAGTGCTAAAAGTATCAAACTGTATAATTCAGTGCAGTACGGATTAAGAATAGCATTTTTTTACATAACTAATCCAAAAGTATCGATGCGATACAATGGTTGTTCAAAGCATCCTTTAATCAATCTTTCCTCGTTCTTAGATCACTCTGTTTGTGACTATTGCTCCCCATTGGATGGGTTTCCGCCCCTTATCCGCTTTTGCAGATGCTCTAAGCTAGCAACTCGCTGTAGGGAAGGTGTTCGTCCCATCTTGTTCTCCGACACATCTGCTGGTGATGTTACTGCAGAATTCTTCTGCACATTTTCAACAGAAGGAACGTCTGTAGAATCATTCTTGACTCTCGGGTCATGAGTTGGTATAGGGTTATCAGAAGCAGGTTGAAAAAAGTATTGATTTGGGTCATCTTGCACCGGAACAGCAGCATCTGTTGATGCCTCTGAAGGGCTTCCATCAAATGGTGCCATGCCGATTGATGACATCTCTAACATGGCATGGAACATGGGGTTCGACCCAGTTAATCTTTTCACTGTCTCCTCAGCCATCTTTACCTGGAATTTAGTCACAAATGAAATAACAAAGCTTATATGATTTTTCGGTTCATACTCTAAGAGGCTTCCAGGAACCAGTTACCAAGGCATTTAACTTTCGAGCAGTTTTGATGACAGGCGTACCTTTGCTCTCAATGTTTCGATATCAGCTTTTAGTACTCTATTGTCAACAGCTGCTTCGTTGTACTTCTTGTCCGCATCAGTCAGGCGCTTCATCAAAGAGGAGTTCTTGACTCTTAATTGAGATGCCTGTAAAGAAAATTGCATTAGGAAATCTACAGGAGACCAAAAGACAGAGATCCAACAGGAAGCCGAGAAAGCAAAAAAAGAACGGACCTGTTCCTCAAGCTCAGTCAAATGTGCCTGCTTTCTTCTTCTTGAGCGTCTAGCTGACTCTCTATTAGACAGCATTCTGGAAAAGGCGGGATGAATTCGTGGAAGGCAATGAAACCAAACGTATTTAAAGCCAAACATTTGAATCAATAATTAAGAGATGGAGATTAGGCTGTGCTTATTTAGGTCACAAGTGAAATGTGGTGCAAAATTGATTATTTTGCAGACCTAACATGTAATGTGTCACAATCATTTGCACTCAGAACATGTAATGCAGGGCCGAAACCTAGCCTACAACAAGAACATCAGATATCGGTGTTACCTTCTCACGCGTTTCACATCAGCACGTTCCATATTCTCATTCATTGCTGTTTCACCTTCAGCTTCCTCATCATCTGTCATTTCTCTCGAGGATCCGCTAGTTGCTTGCCTTACTGGGATCGCAGATCTATGTTGCGTTGCAGGTAACGAAGGGAAATCATACCCAGCTCCTACATAGGTAAAATATTAAAAAATATATATACACGACATTCTAACAACATCACATTATCTAGCAAAAAAAGCATAAGTACATGCCAATTACGAACACGTTTTTGTTTCAATGTAAACCTTTCGGAGGGGCTTGAGATCCGAGTTGTGAAGTACTGGAATCGTGTGATCCGCTGTCAGCTGACGCAACAGGTTCTTGAGCATTCACCAACGATCCCTATTGACACGACCAGAACATATCAGCTAGCGCTTGTCTTTACATAACAAAACTTCGTAAGAAAAATTCTCGACAAGTTCATGAAGATCGAATTAGATCTCAACAGAAGAATCGACGTTTTACTCTCTCTCGTTCAGGACAGGTTGCTCTGTCATTGCTTATGATCCCATTTAATCAGATGAACAAGATTACGGTTTTCTAATCTTGTAGAGCAAGTAGACATTGTTCTGTTCGTGTGGATTCTCGCTTCAAGCGTTGGAAAAGACTACTCGACCTTTAGAACCCTACTACCGAAAGTTTCTTTGGGAAAACACATTCCTTAATTTGTTCAATTTCACTCGGATTTTAAAATCATGCTCTGGTTAAAAAATGCGTTTATGAGATAGAAATTCAAGGCAAAAGAAGTAAATAAAGACTAAGAAAGGGATTTTAAGAAAAGACATGGAGCACATAGAGCTAACGGAAGACTACGTAATGACGTTTTAAAATTCATAAAGCCGACCCTACTTAATAAGATAAAACTTTGTTGTTATTTGCAGTAGTCAAATAATTTTTCTTGAGTAGCTATAGACTACAGGCGCTTAGTGCCGACATATATTTTACTGTTAAATTTGATGGCAGCAAGATACTTTTGCTATTACCATTGAGGAGGTCCCACAAATCCACAACGAAAGGTTCAACATTCAAGTCAAAGTGGTAAGTTTACCAACAAGATCCTCTCCAGATCGTTTGGGTGGACGATTCTAGATATTCGTAAATTATGTTCGTTTATCGTATATTGTACGGTCAGTTTTTGTCAAGTATTGTTTATATTTAATTTTAAATAAAAATATTTAAAATAATTTCTGATTGCACGGTATACGATAAACGAATATGATTCATAGATTCACGAATTCTCAAAATTATCACAAAGAGAATCCGACGAGGATCCGGAAGTTTTTCTTTCTTTCCGTTCCATTTTAGCTCGGTCACATGATATTCAAGCATATCAAACAAAACCAAGTTAACCAACCAACCAGTTAAAAACTTTGTAACTTCAAAGGTTTAAAGTGTTTTCTAATCATGTTTAACGAAAAACTTAAAAGCACTTTTAGATCGTAAAAATGCAATTTTGGAGAAGCACCTTAATGGGTTCTTCTTCAAAAAGCATTCGGATTTATAATAAAAGTTTTATGACAAAAAGGCTCATGACTTATGAGCACAACCTAAGCGTTTCCAACAAAAGCAAATTCCAAACGATAGACTCTGTTTGGATACCGAGAAAATGCTATAAGAAAAAAAAAACAATTAATAATTACATAAATAACAAATAAATAAATAATTAATAGATTTCACGTTCAATTTTTTTCTCTTCAACTTTCTCAGCAACCAAACAGAAGCTAAGCTCATTCCCAACCCATTGGTTTGACTTCGACCATATTTTCTCGGAAAAACAGAGCAAACTCAGAAAAAGAAACCATGAGAAGAAAATGATCAGAAAGAGAGAAAAGGACGAACCTTTACCCGCGACAGAGCCACGGCGGCGCAGGCGAGATCGAGCTTGGTCTTCAGGAACGCCTGGTACTCCTCGGAATCGACGGCGACATTAGGCGGCCGCAGGTTAAACGCCGCCGTGTTGTTGTTGCAGTGAGTTTGAGTTGGATTGGGGTGGGGGTGCTGGGAATTGACCATCTTGATCTCTTTGACGTCGTCTTGGTCGTGATGATGAGCTGAAGAAGAAGAAGAAGAAGAATGATGCGGAGGTGGCGGCGTCGGCGGGGAGGGTGACGGCGAGTAGGGAGAAGCTTCTTGGAGAAAGCGCTGGAAGGCCCACTCGGATGCACTCCGGTTCAGTTTAGACAAGTCGTCACCGTCGGCGGCTCCGCCATTGGCCGGAGGCCCTGAGGAAGACCACAGCTGGTCGGACATTTCCTCCACTGAAAACACCTTATCCATCATTCTCTTTCCTCTCTGTTTCTCTCTCTAGTTTTCTCTCTCCTATTTTCTGCTTTGAGTGCTTTCTAATTTTGGTCAAGGATTTTATCCTCAAAAATTGGACAACACTCTTTTGTAATTTGGTTGAACATTATTTATTGTTTAGTATTTGGCCTAATTTAATATTAGTATTAGAGTAATGTTATTCTTACCACAATTTTATATTACATTTCTTTATCATGTTAGGTGTCAGATGAGTTGAATAAGCTACATCATTTAATTTCAATCTTTTTATTAATTAAAATACTTAAATAATCTTAGGTGAAAGAATGAGACTCTTTGTATATCACAATCATCATTTAATTAACAATATTTTTATTAATTATTGATTAACATTTTGATTAAATGCTAATTAATTTAGATGATGTGGCTGTCCAACTCATCTGACACCTCATATGGTAAAGAAATGTGGTATAAAATTGTGGTAAAAATAGCATTATTGTTAATATTATGATGAGTTGAAGGAGATTTCCTGTATTGGTTATGGAAAATGTGGAATTTGGATACTTTCCAAATTTTATCATTTTAGTGTCGGGAACCGAAAGATCAAGAAATTCGGCTTCTTAGTTTGTATAAAAGAGAAGTTGGAGCTCTTGATTTGTGTAAAGTAAGGTGGGCTATCGAAATAAGTTAATGAGATCTGTCAGATTCAAGTCTGAATTACATAATACTTAAGCTCTGCACAGTAAGATTCAGAATGAACGTCTGTTAAAAAATGTGGATGGTTATATTATGTGGGGTCGATAAAATAAGAAAAAAAATTTAGAAGAAATGTGGATAAGGAAGCTTTCCTTTTGGTTCTGGATTGTGGAGAATCAAATGTGTTTGAATTACATTTATTTCTATTCACGCATGTATTAGGTCAGTCGATCAATGAAATGGTCGTCTTCTTCTACTTTAATTTCTTCATATATGCGTTTAGATCATCGTCTAATTAGAAAAACTAATATTAATTTCAATCAAGTTGATTTGTGTTGAAAAAAATGCTCTCACTTTCCCTTCTTTCATATTACGCACCATATTTTGCCTTGATTTCTTTTCTTTTCTTACAAGGGAACTTTCAATTCTCCCCACCAAACGGCTCATTTTTCACATATGTTGATAAGAAGAGAAGACTTTTTGTGACGTTCCAAGTCCAACCGGAAACAAACCCTTTTCTTAAATCCCATTAAATACATTTTGTTTTTCTTACATAACAATACGTGATTGAGTTAAAATACCTAACGTTTAAGAGGAGAGATCTTTCTGTGCACTAGAAACGTAACTTGGCAAACCAAGTATCGCAACACAATTAATATATCGGACTGTATCTTCGACATGCTAAAAAAATTCTCGATTAAGAGTTTGTTCGGGGGTTGATTTCTCATACATGTTGATAGAAAGATATGACTTCTTCTCCCTTCCACATTCAAGACAAAGGAAGTGGATCCTCTCCAAATTCACTTTGTGGGGATCTTAAAAATCTCTACATCTTAGTTGTTCATCGTACATTATGCAACCAGTTTAATCAGATCTTATTTGTATTTAATTTTAATATAAAAAAATTTAAATAATTTCATATCGCATAATGTACGATAAATGATTAAGATATGAGGATCTTAGGATTCCCATTATTTGGATCCGGATTCAAATCTCAAAACGAAAACAAACAACGAGAGAAACGAAAAGACTGCAAACGAAGCCACGTTTTGAGTTTCAATTGGATGGACAATGATGCGTTGCGGCTGCTCTCCATTTGTGGATAGACACTGAACTGGCCCCACACATTTTGGTGGGCCCACTATATTTGTGGGGTCCAATAAATTATATCTCTTCTAAGGCACTCAAAAGGAAATAAAAATAGAAAGTCCCATGTTTCTCTCTCTCTTTGTGCTTAGCACCACCATTAATTTATGGGTCCCAAATATATATAAAATAATTAATTAATTAATAAAAGAGTTGTGCTTTTGAGCTTGGTGGCCAGAAAAATGTTAAATAAATAATTATTAATCGATGCCTCCTTTGTATGTTGGTATTTTATGAGGCCAAGGTGAAAGAAAAGAAAAAGTGATCATCTCCAGATCTCTCGTTTTAAAGCTATTCAAACTTTTAAAATTTGATTTAACGGTTAAAAATTATAAAGGGTCGGATCACTTCACCTTCATTTTAGCCGTTGAATCAAGTTTTAAAGGTCTAAATCACTTAATCCCTAAGCATTGGAAGGAGAAATTCGAAGATTTGATATCTTTCCAAAGAAAATAATGTGAGAATGGGTGGTGGCTCGTTGAATATCTCTTTGATGATTTGGATTTGGATTAAATTAGTTTGGTTTTCCTTCAATCTTATCCATTCAATGATCAATTTGTTTATTTTAAACAAAAGCTCTTCCATTACGATTTACATGGAACGCATTCAACACTTATTTAATATATTGTTGATTCGAACATTATGCGACGACAAATTCGTTTTATGTGAGTTGCTTTCATCTTAACCTTTCCATGTTAGCTAAATCTTATCAAGAGTGCTTGAGATCCTGCAAAACCTACCTGATGCTGAGATACACATGCTAAAATAGAACATCTTAACCAATCATGTAATGTCGCGCGTTTGAACCTTCTACACGATAAGGAAAGGTGTAATTACTTGCATCATTGGCATATGTAAGTTGGGAGAAGTATAATTTGCTTTCTAATCCCCACCTACTGTATCAACAGGATGTAGGATTTTTCTCTGAAGTATTGAGTTTGAAACGTTTTTCTCTAAAATGTGATGTTATCGACGACTACCATGTGAAAAATCCCCAAAAACGAAAACTTATATAAATAATGGACTTGTCCTTTTAGATGGTGATAATTACAAGGAAAATAAAATGACACACTTAAACTTGAATTGGTATTTTATAGATAAGGTTTTAGGCACCAAAGGAATCTAAATACAAAGACATACCAACCAACAGTCAGTGAGGAGCACAGAACTTGGTGTGAACAAAATGGCAGAAACATACATGATATCGAAAGCAACACTTATTTTCCGCAACCTCTCGGGTAAAACATATCGAAAAACTTGATGATCACCGCCTTCCTGATGCCACAGATTCGGTGTTGAAGAGGTACTTCACTCGTGAAAGAACCGAGTCGTGTGCAGGGTCATAAGGATGATCCTTGGAAGGGATTTCCAAAATAGCTGGAACCGGCTTATTGTAGCTATCGACTAGAAACCTTATCATATTTGCAACCTGGTAAGAGAAGAAGACAGTCATTTCCCTTTGAAATAATCTCGAACCAACTTCGGATTTAGGAAAAATGCATACATTTGCATTACATAAAAAGTTTTGGCAACCGCTCGAGCACTAAGGATATTGCCTTATGGACCAGAAAAGTCATGTTCATAACAGCTGAAGAACGTTTAAGTATGAGAAAGAACTTACATATTGGCTGATCAAGACAATTGCAATGTCATCCTTTGTCGTAAAGTCTTTGAATGCATCTTCAATTTGTTTCACTGTTGTTTCTGAGAAGAAAACCAGAAATACATAAGCTGACCAAAATGTAATATTATACTTGGATATACTACTTACAACATAGTAATTTCTCAACCGAAAAGATATAGACTTTTTTTTCTTTTACATAGATTTCATTTCCTCTAAGTTTGTGATTTCCTTCCCCTTGCCCAACGCCCCCTTTCATTTACCCACAGGATTAGACGGCAAAAATATCCGACTCATAGGTTACTAATCAGATACGAGGATTGGCATTTTGGTCCATCTGCAAACCTATCTGCATACAAATATATAGAAACAGATGACCAGTATAAATGCAGTTCCAACACTCGCGCATAAAAGTCATAACGTACTTGAATCAACAATGAGATAATTCGTCTTTCTTCGCAAGTCAACGTTGCCCACTCCAGCCAGCAAAAATCCAGTTACAGTGTCCTACATGATAACAATCATCACATCAGGAAGACAAATAAAAAATGCCTGAACAGATTCAACCCAAAAAATTGAGTATCCATACCTCATCAGCAATCATGGCAATGAGGGCTGAACTCTTATTGGGGATATGAGCTCTGCCGGCCATTTTAATAAGACTGACTACAGCAAGAAAGAAGAAAAATGACATCAACCACATTGAAAAGTCATTTGATGGTACTTACTAAATCAGTCGGGCGTTTGGTGCAATATCGGACTAATGACCATATTATTATACTGTATTTGGTACTACTATAAAGGATAAGAGGAATTAATACTATTATTTTTAAGAGAAAATTTGATGATTTAGATCGCAAATATCACATATCCAATCGAACATACCCAAGTTGACAAAAAATACCAATGCAAAAGATAGCACATATCCAATTGAACATCAAATTTAGATGGCAGGTCCAAAAGATACCAAACCTCGAACACCCCATCAATCAAAACCGAAACTCCAATTGATCAAAACCCAGGTAGCAGTTAAAGATAGCAAAATGAAATTCGAAACTGAAAAATGGCAAAAACCCAAGAACAATCAAATCATGCAAATCGAAAAAAAAGTCTTTCCGTCTCCTATCTGAAATTCTCTCAGTGCGGGCCGGCTCCCCCGAACCAAACCCCACCACAAAGGCGGCAGCAAGAAACCCAGAAAAACCCAGCTTCCAAATTCTCATCTTTTTTCCCCAATCCTTCTCTTTCTTCAGCTACAAAATCAGCAACGCAGCAAAAGTAGAAGGGTTCTGAAGGATATGACCCAAAGGTGGCAGATGGGTTCTTTAGCAATTGAAAAATTATATAATCAATTGCAAAATTAGAGAGAAAAACAATAATTAGATCCAATCAATTGAAAGAAAATTGCAAGAAAAATAGAAGGAGGAGGAAGAAGAACCTGGGTTCAGACGAGAGAGCAAAAATTAAAATTAAATTAAGACCAAATTCACACACACAGCAATCCAATTCATCAGATTACAGCAGAAAAATAAAACAGAAACTTTGACGGACATAGGGTATAAAACGACGACGTATCAAATCAAATGGGGAATTAGCATACCTCTTTCCGGTGATTAATTTTGTTGGAAAATTAACAAAAAGAGTTTGAAAATTTCAAACGTCAATGATAAGAATAAAATAATAATAAAATAAATAGTATTATGATTGATTTTTTAATATAAAAATATATTTTTTTATTAAAATAAACAATACTGAAAATTTTTCATTAAAGTTGCGATTCTGGTTGGGATCAGATATCCAATTTTTTTATTTTTTATTATATGTTTATGAGTTACAGGCTAATAATGTAAGCCCAACGAGCTCATAGTTTCTTTAAAGTCGTGAGGTTATGTAAGCCCAAAACGGCCCACTCTTTAACCCGAGATCCACAAAAAAAGCCCAGAAATTCAAGGGCCATTTGAAGAGAACTTGGGTTCATAACTAGGACAGAATCATCAAGAGGGATGTCACCTGATTCACGCTGCGCTCCGGATTTAAACCTTTTTTTTTTCTCTATAGGGAGGGAATATACTCCAATCTTAGGGCCAAAACTTACCACAAACATTTTTTAAAAATTATAAAGGGAATCTTAGAACATAATAAGACACTTTGGATAGTACTTACTTATGAGACTAGTTGTGAAGTGCATTTAAACTTGCTGAAAGCGTTTTTAAAATTATTGATTATGTTTTTAGTAAAAGTACTTTAAAAATCAATTTTTAGTAAAAATATAAGTAAATTCAGAAGAAAACCACTACAAGTGCTTTTAAAACACAAAAATAATTTCACCAAACGGCCTAGGCGGATTTTTTAATTTTTTAATAACATATAAATATTAATGTCTACTTATACTTAAAAAAAAATTATATATATATAATTATGTTCGGACACATAAATTGCAAAAGTAGAATGATATATTGATTATAAAGTATTAGAACATATTGAAATCATGGAAAACAAGCATATAATGAGTATTCATTCAAGTGCTTAACCAATCTATTACAATTTATTGAAAAATAAAATTCAAAATAAAAGTTATATATTTTCTGTCTAAGTTAGAGTTGCGATCTAGTAGGTCTAGACTGACTAAGTATTCACCTAAGCAGGTTTATGCGCCATTTTTAATTTTTAAACGCCTATAGATGAATCGGGACAGAGTCAGTCGTCTAGCACTTAAGCGGGACCTAAACAATGCTAAGCAGGACATAAACAGTGCTAGACCAAAATTTTTAAAACGATGTTAGTAACCCAAAGAAAACATGGAAAGGTGCCAACATGAGAGGACCTTCCGAGTAATTTCATTTGGACCCCAACAGAAAAAAGGGTTTTCACTTTCAGTCATCTTCCTAGTTTCTAGGAACTTTCTCCTTTTGATTGTGGTGGGCCCATCGAAGCATTCCCCTCCTTTCACCTGAATCCGCATTGGAGTAGAATTCTCTTTTCTCAATTATTTACGGTCAAACCGCAAACTGGTAAGCAAGAGGGGTTCTATTGTTTGCCGTGTTTCAGTATCCTATATATAGCAGCAGAGCTTTACAGGCTGAGAGGCCAATTCCCATATCATTATCCCCTTCCATCTCCTCTGAACCCAACATTTTGCCTCTCATTCTCTCATTCCCAACTTTTCGAAGCTTCAAAGCTTCAAACTTTGCTCTGTCCAGGTAAAATTCCCAACTGGGTTTTCTGGGTTTCTCTCACTTACCCTCTTCTCTCTCCTCTTTCTCTCCCATGCTCGTTCCAATAGTTTTAACGTTTGATGGGTCTTCTGGGTTGTAACATTTGATGGGTTTGTTTTCAATTGTTTGTACAGTGGCTGTTGTGGTTGTTAAACTTGTTCATAACACCGTTCTTTTTGTTTGCTTGAATTCTTGGTATTTTGGTAGGTTGTGTGGCAGGGTTGTATGCTAAAATTTCATTCCTTTTTATACACTGAGAGATAGGTACTTGATTTTAGCAAAATCTTGAAGATATATTTGTTTTTCCATGTAATTTGATGATGTTTTCATTCGGGTTGGTTCTGAAATGGTCAATAATAATCCTGCTGGTTATACTTTTTTTTACATGTTAATTTATAGAGATTTTGATGCTAATTTTGTTTCTGTAGGTACTGGTTAAATTACTTTACTCTTTTCCCAATTTGCTAAAATTTTTTGGGGGGTTAAATTTTCTTCATTTTTTAATTTATATGCAATATCTACTCACTGGATATGGATTTTAATTAGATAGTTCTGAATATGATATTAAGTAGCAGTTCTGTCGGTTAGTGTTCCTATTTGCACTTTTGGGTTTTGTTGTTTTCATGGAGGTAAATTGTAGTGCGAAAGTGGTAATCTTTTTCCTATGTGTATAATCTTTCAGAATGGGAAGTGCTGGTGAAACTAAGTATGGTGCGTACACCTATGAGAACCTCGAGAGGGAGCCTTATTGGCCTTCCGAAAAGCTCCGAATTTCCATCACCGGGGCAGGTGGCTTTATCGCCTCCCACATTGCCCGTAGATTGAAGAATGAGGGTCATTACATCATTGCTTCTGACTGGAAGAAGAATGAGCACATGACTGAAGATATGTTCTGCCATGAATTCCATCTTGCTGACCTCAGGGTCATGGATAATTGCTTGAAGGTTACTAAGAATGTTGACCATGTGTTCAACCTCGCAGCTGATATGGGCGGAATGGGCTTCATTCAGTCCAACCATTCCGTCATCTTTTATAATAATACCATGATTAGCTTCAACATGGTCGAAGCTTCTCGGATCAATGATGTGAAGAGGTTTGTTGTCCTAAACTTGGTACATTTCATCCTTGGTTGAAATTCGTATTTTGACTGAGATGTATGAATTCATATTGTAACTATTGTTTGAGTTCGAAATTTTGGATCTCATCTCCAAAATGCTTTAAAGATATACTCAAATTCTCTATCTGTTATTTGGATTTCTGCAGGTTTTTCTATGCTTCAAGTGCTTGTATTTATCCTGAATTTAAGCAGCTGGAAACCAATGTGAGCCTGAAGGAGTCTGATGCTTGGCCTGCAGAGGTATGTAACTTTACGGTTATGATTTTCAACTCTAGTACTGATCGTGTTAAATGAATTTACCCTTCATACCTTTGTTTGTAGCCTCAAGATGCTTATGGCTTGGAGAAGCTTGCAACTGAGGAATTGTGCAAGCACTACACCAAGGACTTCGGAATTGAGTGCCGTATTGGAAGGTTCCATAACATTTATGGTCCTTTCGGAACCTGGAAAGGTGACTTGAATTGCAATGATAGCTGACTTGTTTCCATGGTCTTATTGCTTTTTGGCCTAATTTTGTTGCTTCCTTGTATCTGTTATATAGGTGGAAGGGAGAAGGCTCCTGCTGCTTTTTGCAGAAAGGCTCTCACTGCCACTGATAAGTTTGAGATGTGGGGAGATGGACTTCAGACCCGATCCTTCACTTTTATTGATGAATGTGTAGAAGGTGTTCTTCGGTAAGAACCTTATTATTATTACTTCTTTTTTGTTCCATAACTTTTCTAGCGGAAAACACTTCTTTTGAGGTTTTAAGATTCAAAATACTTGAATTTCTTAGATGTTGTTGTCAATTTTTTTTTTTTCTTCTGTTTTTACAAAGCTTTGTGGAGTCAAGTTCGGTTGATTATGATAAAGTCAGCATAGAACTTAAACCTTGAAGGATTTGGTTTTGAATCTTTGCATTATATTGTCAGTTCTTGCTGAAGGTGTTATGAGGGCATTTTCTGCGAGTAATTGTATGAGAGTGATAGATATGAAGACAAATGAATATATTACATTGTTGAAATATCTTTTTATCATGTGTTCGATTCATTTCTGCAGAACCTTACAACATTGTATGGTAGATTAATGTGGCCCTTGTACAAAAACTTCCATTATTTGTTTTTCTTGGGCCCAAAATCATTAGGTATATGTTGTGTTTCACATGAAACCCCTTTAAAAGTTGTAATTTATGTCTTCTCCTTTATGATTTAGGTTGACGAAGTCAGATTTCCGCGAGCCAGTGAATATTGGAAGCGATGAGATGGTTAGCATGAATGAGATGGCTGAGATGGTTCTTAGCTTTGAGGACAAGAAGCTGCCTATCCAGCACATTCCTGGGCCAGAGGGTGTCCGTGGTCGTAACTCGGACAACACGCTGATCAAAGAGAAACTTGGCTGGGCGCCTACCATGAGGTTGAAGGTAAACAGCATGAGAGTACCCATTCTGCAGTTTCTTAATACCGCCAAGTTTCTTTAAAGTCGGGGGTTATTGGTGTCGGTTTTGTGTTTGCTCCCTGTTTACAGCATAATGCGAACAAAGATTTTCTTTTTATTTGTGTAGGATGGTCTGAGAATTACATACTTCTGGATCAAGGAACAGATTGAGAAAGAGAAGGCACAAGGTGCTGACCTCTCGGTGTATGGCTCATCTAAGGTTGTCGGTACCCAAGCCCCAGTTCAACTTGGTTCGCTGCGTGCTGCTGATGGTAAAGAATGAAGTGTTCGGAACAGCCTTGAAACTGCACTGGAAACATATAGTATTCAACAGGTCTGGTTATGATATTGCCGCGCGTATCTATGTGCATGGACAATAAGCAGGGAAGCTTTTATTCCCCTTTACATTGTAAATCTAGTTTGTTAGATTAAATCTTCTACCTTAGAAGTGCCTTTATATTTTGTTTCCCCTTCTGAATCATTTTTCGGTTCATGTGTTGTACTCTATTTCCTGAATAAGATTTTGTTTCGGGTTCAATACCGTGATCTTTCCCGGATGTTGAGACCGGCCGCTTTCAACCAGCGTGCCATCTGCAATATTCTTGTCTGAATTATGCTGTTCTATGTTTGCAAAAATTGATCTTTGGTAGCTTTACTTCTGCTTGTTTCTGCCTGTAATTCGTAACCCCTTTCCTTTCCAAGAGTATTCAAAGGATATTGCTTTTCAAGATTTGGTAAGGGTTTATGCT